CAGGGTTTCGGGTTTAGGGGTTATATAGGGTTTATATTGGGATAATGGAAATAAAATGGAAATTACTATTTAGGGTCTAGGGTTTTGCATAAAGGTAACATAGGGCGGGGTTTGGTGATCTTTTTTGTAGGGGTCTAGGGGTTAGGGATTTAGGGGTTGGGATGTATTACCATTACTTAAGGTTTGGGGGGGGGCGTCATTTTGCCAAAATTTGGGTATCCTAAGTAATGGTAAGTTTATATGGGTTCAGGGGTTAGGGTTTAGGCGTTCAAGATGTCATTAAGGTCGGCCGATGCAACACGCCCTTTGCACGGGGTCAACTGCTAGGCTTGGGTTTAGGGCTTACCTGGACCCCAAAAGTATGGAAATAATGGCCTTTATGGCTGTTATTACGGGTTTAGGGCTATTATTTTACATATTTTTGGGGTTAAGGTAGGAACCTTCCGCAAGGCTCAATTAAAGTGAATCTGCCGGAGAACGTCGGGATATATGGGGGAATGGATACCAAAATAGAAACTGCCGCGTTACTTGGGGCTTAGGGTCTCAAGTGGCAAGAAACCCGCCTTTTCAAGTGGTAAAGAATTTTAGAAGGAAAATGGAATGGAACCTGGATCTATATGGGCCTTGTTCCGGACTACGTTTCAGGGATTTCTTGCAGGACCGTGGGGACTTGTTAAAGAGGTTGAGGTTAATAAAGGGGTTAACCGGGCATACTACGTGCGTTGTAGGGATTATCAATATACAAACCCGAAGACCCTCAACCTTAAACCCTAAAAAAAACCCTAAACCCCTAAACCCTTAAATCCTACAGAGAGTCGGCAATCTGGCCTCAACCTACTTGAAGATTCATGGGACTTACTAACTACTTATAACCAGGTCCCGTTAAAGGGGTTGTATGGATCTATAGGGACATACTGAGTTCAGGCTTCAGGGCCTTGGGTTTCCTGGATTTAGCAACTACTTTATCATGGGCGTCTACTGTACCGTATACTGAAAACCCTACGTACTATTGGGTAACCTAGATAAGTCCAGCTAGGGGGATTATAAGTAGGGTTATCACCCCAGTCAGACATTGTGACTAAGTCCCATGAACCTTTGGCCATGTTGACTTGATGCTTCTTACTTCTGTTTTTGCGCGCCACGTGCACTACAATTCCTTTCTTCATCTCACTGCCTTTACAAGTGCCATAAGGGCTGAGGGTTTAGGGTTTCCTCGACTGACGCGATCGTCGCCTTGGCGCTGCTGCGCCGGGATCCAGCCGCCGCGGGAGGCGACGTTCGCATCCCGAGGATGCGGCCGTAGCGTAGCATCGCCTCGCTGTCCTCTCAAAGTGAACCAATGTCATCTTATGCCCTGTTTAACATGGAATGACTCATTCGCTGCTAAACAGAGGGAATGAAAAAGAACATGTAAAGTATTGCATTTTGGAGATTGCCAAGGGGCATATAGGAGGATAGTAGTTGGTATTCTGAAGGGACTAGTATGAGGATACATTCCTTCATTCCCTGCTGACAAGAGGATAGCTACATGGCAAGAATGGCTGCCATGAATCTGGTGATGATTTTCATGGATTGCTCCTGCTTCCTGCTGCAATGAACTACAGTGTCGATGCGCGCAACAATGTCAACATGCAAATGGCCTTCAACTGCAACTAGTGTAGTTACATCAACAACTCGACCATGACATCGTGAGCAACAGTAAGAGGGCTAAAAACCAAAGCCTTGAACTCAACCAAGAAGAGAATGCTAGTAAATACACACTACATCTGGTAGTTTCCCTAACTAAGGGACCCCAATATAGACCCCAATATACTATAGTCCTTATTATGGGGACCCCCCAAGAAGGTACCCCCTAATTTTGGGAAACCCTAAACCCTAAATCCTACAGTATAGAATCCCCATACAACCCCTATATAATACCATATAACCCTTATATAACCCCTATATAGCCGTATACCCTTTTTCTGCAACAGGAATTCCTGCAAACGTGTTTCCTCAAAGTTAAGCTCCAAGGGTTCCCAGCACAGGGAACCTCCAGGAAAGGAACCAGAATTAGGGTTTAGGGTTTAGGGTTTAGGGTTGTTTCAGCATCAGAGTTTTGAAGCCTAAGCCCTGCAAGAACAAAGACAGCTACAACAAGTTTGCGCTCCTCCTCACCAGGCTCAGGGCTCCCTCCGAGAATATTTCCTGGCTGGATATTTAAGGGGTTTCCCAACATTGGGGTGTATAGTCCCCCTTAACTAGACAGAATATGGGGTATATGGGGATCTTATTCTAATATACCCAGAGCCATATTCTATCTACTTCAGGGGGACTAGAGAGAGAGAGAGAGAGAAAGAGAGAGAGCAACAGAGAGATAGATATGTACGCATATATGTATTGGATCTTTCCGTAGAGGCCTAAGGGGGCCCTTATGAGGATGCCCTCGTGACAACATCATCTTCATCCCGCAGACATCACCCCTGCCGTTCTTGCTACATTGTCATTGAACCTTGGAACCCAAGAACCGGGAGTCCCCGAACTTGCTGGGGGAATGCGGCAAATGTCGGTAAATACATGTGTATACATGTATGTACATAAATATATATATATAAATACACTGACATCCATACAGCTAGCAACTAGCTCGTACGTCGTACGATTCACCCACACAAACATGGCTGTTGCCTCGTCTCGTGTTACGATTCTCGCGACTTCGTTTCAACTAGTCCGGCCGATCAAACGCGCTGCCGTCGCAGCTTGACAAGGAAGCAACCACCCCCTTTATATAGGGGCTATATAAGATTATATTCGGGATATATAGGGTTATATCAGGGGTATATACGTTTATATTACGTGCGCGTAGGGTTCTATAGGATTCTAAGGTCATTACAAGGGCCACCAAGTAAAAATTCAACCCAAGGAAAGCAAGTAGTCGCCGGCTCCACCGATCAACTCCTCCTCGAGGGCCCCGCGCCCTGCGTAGGCTGCGCCCGAGGCTTTGGCCGAGACCTCGCCGGTGGCCTCGCTGGCCGGCGGCTTCGTCTGGACAAGCACCTGGCTGGACCCGCATCACTATATAACTGTATATTACCCTATATTAAGCCCCATGTATCCTATACTACCCTATATTAAACCCTACGTATCCCTATACTACCCTATATTACCCTAGTAAGACTGATAGGGCCTAATGGGCAGAAGGCTGGGAGGATGCAGCGATTCATCAAAATCCTGTTAGTTTAATTCCTAAGCCCAAATAGTAAGGTTTTAGGGACCAAATACTATAATATTTGCGTGAGCAGCAGAAGCCCTCAAGAGCTGTTTGCCACAGTGTGTTGCCCCATATCCAACATCCTTCCTTGTGGGTGGTTGGACTGGGTGCAGGTGGGCACAATCACCAAGTAATAAGGTCATTCAACATGACCTAGTAATAAGGTCTCTTGCAGGTTATGAGCACCAAGTTTATGCGTGCTGCGTTTCTTCGTGGGTCTATGCAAGTACAAGCTGGAGGCCCGGGAATACGCTATGAAGTTTTAGCTGCTTGAGAAACTTAGTTGGACCGGCGACGGCACTGGCGTTAAGGGAAGCGGCGACAGCACAAGTGTGAGAAAGGCTGGAAGGGAGCTGCGACGGCTTGCGTCAGAAGGGGTCCGCGCCCCAGCTTTGGAAGACGAGGGAGCTGAAAGCAGAAGTCGTCCTCTAGTTGCTGAGCAGATGGTCCTTAGCGTGGTGTAGTGTACGGGCGCGCTCCGCGCGTGGTGATGGCAGAAGCTTTGGCTAGCGCCAAGTGGATGCCAGATCCGTGCGCGGAGTTTGCGTAGCCGGCCCACCACCGGAGACCAAGTTTAAAGGAGTCTTGCAGCAGGTTCACTCCTTCACTCGAGTTCAGGAGTGGGGAGAGTGCGTGAGCAGCAGAAGCCCTTAAGAGCCGTTTGCCACAGTGCGTTGCCCCATATCCAACATCCTTCCTTGCGGTTGGACTGGGTGCAAGTGGGCACAATCACCAAGTAGTAAGGTCATTCAGCATGACCTAGTAATAAGGCCTCTTGCAATATTTATGGTATTTGGGCCCTAAAACCCTATTATTTGGGTCCTTGGACCCTCAGGGAAAGTATCCCATCATGCAGCTGCAGACCAGGCTGTGCAGAGGAACTGAGCTTGGCTTTATCAAGAGAATGATTGCAACTTGCCGCTGCTTCTGCAGGGCAGTCCAGCTAGCGGGAACTACAGCTGCAACGGTTACGGGAGCAATAGCAGCAGATTCATTTCCTCGTGCCAGTTCTTTTTTGAGGGAAAATATGTTTCAATTTGCAATTTGCTCAAAGCCACGGTACCTGCATTGTCTTGCTGGCCATGCTTCAAAAGCGGGTGCGATACCAGTGATACTGTGGATGGAAGACATCTTACAGCACGTTATACAGGTCTGAAGCTACAATTTGCAGTCCCATGGGAGTGTCAAGTGGTAAGGGCTTAGGACAGCCTGGCTACCCATCTGTTAAAGTTTCAGCGTAAAGGCTTCAAGGGAAAACTCCCTGAAAAGGCCGTGCGTTGAAAACAGTTGCTTGGGGCTTGACATGAACTACAACCAATGAAAACAAGCTGCAAAGTTCCTATACCCCTGCATCACTATACTTATCCCTATAATCCGCATCCCTAAATCCTACACGTCTCACGGAAGATGAAGGTACAGCTTGATCAAGGCGGCAGCTTCTCAACACTACACCATCAGAATCCTGAAGACGGAGGCTACTTGAAGGTTCATTGGTATCTATACCGTGATATATAACTGGGAACTATACTTCCGACATAGGTCAGGGGACTTATACCCCCACCTATATAGTAATAATCATAAAACCAATTCTTCAAATGAAGCTAATCATAATAGTCATGATAGTAGTAATCATACCAACATGCTCCCGAGACCCCTACACCCAAAACCCTAAACCCCTGAACCCTTAAGCCTTAAACCCTAAACCCCTAAACCCTAAAAACCCCTAAACCCTGAAGTAAAGCCAGCTGGCCTCGTCTTCCCTCGACGCAACGGAGAGCTTTGCAGCAGAACTTTGGTAGGAGAGCGTCGTGCCCGAGGCATTCCTGGGTTGCTGTTCAGGCGCTTTAGGATTTAGGGTTTAGGGTTCAGGGTTAGGGTTTTAGGGTTTAAAGGGTTTAGGGGTTTAAAGGGTTTAGGATTTAGGGTTTAGGGGTTTGGGGGTTTAGGGGTTTAGGGAAACCACCATGGCACTTGGCACCCCTACTGAAAGTCAACTTTTTGGTACCTGTCATAGGAATATAGGGGAACGCCGAAAAAGTTTAGGGTCTCAGGTCCTAGCTAAGTGCCAGGGAGAAACGAAGTTACTGTAATGTGGGAACCAGATTATTGACCATCTACCCGTATTATGCTACCCTAAACCCTAAACGCCACATATCCATACTATGTTAACTTACTTGCAGTTCCTTAACAGCAACCCAGATGCTTGATGAGATCTGTCCGCGAGGCGTACGGTGAGAAGCCAACCTTGCAACGGGGGTCAGACAGAGCTTATATAGAAGTTTCCCTAAATTACTGNNNNCCCGTATTATAATAGGAACCCAAATATAGGACCCCGTATTATAGGGAATTTAGACCAATCCCCATATAGGGATATATGAGGGAAATTGGAAAAGAATATGGAAGCTACTATCTAGGGCTTAGGATGTAGGGATATTACCCAGTCATGGCGAAGCAATTGAATAATGAAATGGAAGCTGGGGTTGTAAAAGGCTTGAGAAGGATTATGTACCGTAGTGGCCTAAATTGATGACTACCAAGGTGTGTATCTCAGCTTCCTTGTATAATTATGGTATAGAGTATGGGGTACATCAGACAGACATCAAAGTAGCGCTGGTAGTTATTCATGCCCGTATCCTACGCTCTCTTTTACAGCACATTTTCCATCAGGTTACTGCCGGCGCTGCTAGCGTGGACTACTTCTGCCTGCTGCCGGAGGGTTCAGAATGGAGGAAAGCATCCCGGATAATTAACAAGTAGTCCCTATAACCCATTCCTGCATTCCGTCGGACCCTACAGCACAAATCCTAAGCTCTGAATTCTACATCCTATCGTAGTTTCTGTTCTCTGCTCTTTTCCCAGAATTCTCTACAGAACGCCCACCGTAAGCAAGCCCTGGCCCCTATAGTGGTTTCCATGTTCTCTCGGTACCTTGAATCCCTACTACAAACTATACAGTCCAGCTCCCAATCCATTTTCCACCATTAGTCCCTACAGTACTTTTGCATTACTCGTACTATTGCTAGCTGAGGAGCTGTAGACGTGGCTGAGTCTGTCTTGGCCGAGAAGAAGGTGATCCGTGAGCTGTCGTGAGACCTAGGACCACTATTTGCCAAGGATTGAAGTTTATGGTTTAGGGTTTAGGGTAGCAAGGGGCCCACATTAGCGGCCCATGGTTAAGACTTTGGATATTTGGGACAGATGGGGTTTTAGGGTAGGCCCACCAAAAAAACTGCAATATGAGAATTATTGAACCCTCACAACAGCGCACGAACGAGCCCTTGGCAATCCCCATTTCCAACATCTCAAAGTCACTATCCTGAGTGTTAATTTCACACAAACAGATACCCAATATCTAGCTGAACAGTCAAAAAGGTAAACGGATGCCTAATATGACTGTTAAACTCAGAAGCAGATGCCCAATATGACTTAGAAAGACTTGAAACTACGCAGAGAGACGCAGATCCTGAGTCCTAAGCCCTATTTCCTAAGTTTAAGATATCTGAACCCTAAACCCATCAATAAAAAGAGAAAAGAAAGAAAAAGAGAGAGAGAAACAAAACAACAGCTGAAAACATGGGCCCAGGAGGCAGCCAGCCAGTGGTCTGTGTGCGCGCGGACAGGAGCCTGGCCTCCGCCTTTCCTCAGAAAACTAGGGTTGAAGGGTTTAGGGTTAGGTTTTGGGAAAATATAGAGTTTTGGCGTTAGGGTTTGGGGCTCACATAGGGATTGTGTGGATTCTATAGGGCTAGTCAGAATTTCCCAGGTATCTTATGGACATTGGTTGCTTACTGGGGCACCCTTAATAGTATCTGCTTAACGCTAATATTTAGGGTTCATGACCTTCCCCCTCAAACTCACTGGGAATGGAAAATGGAAACTATCATACTTTATGGGACTCTGGGATTACTAATGGGTTCGGTAACCTACTTATAAGGGGTTACAATGGAGTTATATTGGGCTTACTAAGGGGATACAGTACATTACCTAACTCCAGGGTCCCTCAAAGTAGGGTTTGAGGGCTTTTTTTTCTGGTGGTTCCTAGGGAATGGGATCGTGCATGAGAACATGGAAACTTACCTCGTATTTTGATTTTTGGGCTTAGTGTCAGCAAGGATTGATACAGGATTCTACAGTGCAGGCTATGTAGGCATCTCATAAGCCTCGTACCCCAGTAGCCATATGAAAAGACAGAAAGGCACTCCTGCAACCTAGATATGAGCCCTGGACTAAATTTGTAGTATATCCCTTAATAGGTCCTCCCCAAAACCCTATATAGGGGACCCCCAACCTAAATTAGGTCCGTAGCTCATATGGAGCCAGAAAAAAGCACCTCGCAGAGTTACCAACATGGCTGTTTAGGGTTTATGTTTAGGGTAAGCCCTATAAACCTTTAAACGGCTCTCTCTTGCCTCACGAAGCCACGTCCCATTTGCCTGTTGTTTGTGACTCCGGCATGGTATCACGAAGTAACCTGCAGAGATGGTAGGGAGTTATAACCTGGGGTGGTAATCAATATAACATGGTTGCAACCTATAGAACTTCAACCTACGTAGTTTATTTGACCGAATTTAGGAGACTTGGCTCTACTTACCCCGACCTGCTCAGGAACACAGACCCTAAATCCCTAAACCCTGAACCCCAAAACCCCTAACCCCAAAACCCCCAAACCCCTAAACCCTAAACCCCTAAACCCCCCAAACCCCTAAATCCCTAAATCCCTAACACCCCTAAACCCCCTAAACCCCTAAACCCCTAAACTGCTGCCCAGGCTCGCAGATGAGACAAATCGGGCTCGTTCATGGATCGAATTGCCTGATGCTTCAAGGACTTGGGGGAAGTGGTTAGGGTTTCGGGGTTAGGATTTAGGGTTTAAGGTTTTGGGGTTTAGGGTTTAAGGGTTAAGGGTTTAAGGGTTAAGGGTTTAAGGGTTTAGGGTTCCTTACTGGGATGCTATTGAAAACTTTGAGTTTATGTTCCTTGTTGGGCTTTTTAGTCATATTGGTATACTACTTAGCTACTACTTTCAAACTCTTATCTCATGTTCCTATGGGGATGTCGTATATTGACCATAAGAAGTTTTGTCTAGCTATGACCCAGGCAGTCTCCAGCACTCGGCCAAAATTAGTAGCCTGCTGTCCAATATGACTTCGAGTCAAGCCTGTTTTGTCATATCCTGGAGTTGTCCTCCCACACATGCCATAGCTGGTAGAAGGACCACAGAAGTTGATCGTGAACCCATGAAAACTGCACCTCTCAACTTTGGCTTGCTTGTTTGGGGGGTTATATTGGGACCGTGGAAAAGAAAATGGAAGCTACTACATTAGAAAGGGGTTATTGGGGTTATATAGGGATAACGGAAAAGAAAATGGAAGCTACAGGGATTATAGGGGTCATATAGGGTCTAGAGGAATTGTGATGCCGCACAGATGATGGGAAGGATTTGCCCTCTTTTACCCAAACGTAACTCGTACCCCTTCATTTTGCCCTGACCCTAGCAATGCCACATTGGGTGCAGGCGCAAGGTTCTGTCATGGTTCCGAAGAAATTTAATTAGCACATTGATCTTCTGCCTATTACCCCATCAAACCTAAAAATCCCTAGATCTATCCTCAATGCCTCAAATACCATCCAACATCTGGACACCAGACTCGATTGTTGTGTGTATTAACCACCTTTTGGGGTGAGGCTGTCGTAATTTGCCCAGAACGGAACCACTGCATGAAACATAATCCCTATGTAACCCTATATGATCCGTACATAACTCTCTCTCTGTCTCTCTCTAGCCTCAACCGTACGTTTGAAACCTACTTGGAGGATCAAGCGGGCCTAGTAATTAAGTAGGTTGGTAACCCCTAAAAGCCATATAGTAAACATAACTATCCCTGTTATTCACCTCCTCATTAAGTCCTAAACCCTAATCCCTAAACCCAACTAAGAAGATAGAAATGGGCCTGGATCGTTGCCGCCGTGAGGGCTAGGCTTGAGTCGGTGCTCGAGAAGGGCGCAACTCCCATCTGGCGAAGGACATAGCTTGGCTGGGGCTTATTACCATTGCTTAGGGTTCGGAGGGTCACTTCGATTTTAGAACTTTAACATGAAGGAAATTTGGTGACTGTAAATAATGGATTTATATGGGCTCGAAGGTTTTGGGTTTGGAGTTTGGAGTTTAGGGCTGCCCCAAGTCAGTAAGAGATCATAATAATGGCAATACTGTTGATGGCAGAAATCTTGCGCGACCTAAAGCCCTAAAATAGTGTAATTCCTACATGTTAAAGGGCTTCACGTGCTGCAGGCTTTATTCCATCAACTGAAGTAAGGGCTTGACATATTCATTTCATGATTTCGATCTGGCTCCAGATGGGGATACTACTGAAACCTGTAGCTAGGACAAATTGTAGCTTCCTGTTTCATATTGGGCTTCAATGTGATAAGTCCCTAAACCCTAAACCTTCCAACTTTAACCTAGACAAGGGTTTTGCGCCAGCTTAGGGTTTAGGACTCTTCTGCAGAGATCGGTTTAGGGCTTAGAGCTTAAAGTTGAGGTTCTCCTGCATCCTAAATCCTAATGCAGACCCATGATTAACAAAACCCCTCATTTTAAGGCCCTTGATATTGGGATCCCTATTATAATCCCCATTAAGGGGAGGGGTTTATCAATTACGGGTCTGGGTTAAACTCTAAATCCTAAACCGGGGCTTACCGTTCAGGATTGAGGGTTGATGAAAGAAATTTAGCATCACTCCACGTACCAATCCTGGGAATTGTAACAGGAGCTATAGTCTAAACTTCTTGAAAGGGGGTGATATTGGGGATTCTTATAGGGCTTATGAAGGGGATATGCGGAGTTTGGACTATAGCTCATATTTTGGGGACCTCAGGTGGTGCCAAACTCCCCCATCAACAGCGGAGATACTTGAGGGCTCACGGGCAGTTGTGAGAAGCGCGCCTTCAGTCCTGAATTTTATCATGACCGCGGTCATTCTACTTGTAGCCCACCTTTGACCACGAACGATTCAGGGTGTAGGGTATGGCATCACAAACCACGGAGCATGTAACCGCTTTGTCCGAATACACCACGCATCATTGCAGAATGATTCACGACAAAAGGGGCCAGAGTCTAATCAAGTACAACTGATCATAAGACGGTCATGACTACCACTGAAGGCAGAAATGGAATTTTGCCCCTCTGGAAAATCCCATTTCAATGCGCACAAATGGCCCGAAGACTTCCAAAATTTACCCTCTTTATATGTATACCCAGAATTCCTAAGTAAGGGTCCAGTGGACCTTTCAGCCGGGCTTCTGCGGGGTGCAGTGGTTCATCAGCATCCGGCACCTCCTTGCTGGCTGAATGCTGCTGAAAGTGCCAGGGACCAGGGAGACCTGATAAGTGTACCGTAAGCCACATGGTATCCAAAGTTATCCCAATAATTAACATATTCAAGTCCTCCTCGCCCTCCAGGTAATAATTCCAGAACCTGAAATGAAAAAAGTCTCGCACAGTTTTCCAAACCCAGACCACCACTTTTTTGGTGAGATCCGGTGAGGTCATTCATTACTACGAGGCTCATGGGCAGTTCCAGACGACTACATGAGGTTATCGTTACTTGCAGCTGTCAAGCAAAAACCTCAATGACAGCAATACTTGAGCCTTCAAGCCCTAAACCCTAAACTCTAAACAGATTCTAAACCCTAAACCCTAGACTCTGATAACTGTTTGCCCAGTCCTTATTTGCGGCGCTCTGCTCGGAGACTCCAGCCACAGGGGGGGCCTGTGCGGTCCGACGGTCCCTAAAAAGGACCCCTGTGATGCCCCTATAGCGGGGCCCTTTAGGTTTAGGGTTTAGGGTTTACCCTGATATCCTTATATACCTACTACATATCCTGTATGTAACCCTAAGCGCCCCTAATAGCGTAAGGTTCCAATTATGGGCCCCTAATATGGACCCTTCGGCCTGCTTAGGGGCCCTTAAGGTTACATATAGGATATATAGTAGGTATACAAGGCTCCCAGGGTTCAGGGCCCATGCTAGGGGGCCCATTGTTTTAACCTTAGACCTATAGAATTTTCAGGTTCCTTGTTCCTAGGGTACCCTGAGCTCTAGGGGTTACAAGGTACCTCTATTTCGAAACTTCCAGATGTAATGGTTAGAGAGTGGGGAGAGCCTGCCTGTATATCATACCAGAGCTATACTGGGGGGGCCTAAGCAATCTAAATACGGTTTTTGGCATATCTGACACAAAGTTATGGGGTTTTGGAATATGTTATACTAAAGCCATATAGGGATCATACGGGGGTAATGTCGGTAACTGCTCAAGCTTCTACAGCAGCAAAACCCCCGCGCCTCATGAAGCGTGCGCTTGGTGTCCTCGGTCCTCTTTTGCAAAGCTTCATCATTTTTCGGCGCTTGGGCCTTGCGCTTTGGAGCTCTAGGCGCCGCGGGCTTGTTGATGCCTGAGAGCACACGGGGTCTAAGGTTGAAATATGTACCCTTAAGGGTCCCTATA